ATAGTGTCTGAATTCAAAAGTCTAAAAGAATCTTTGAATGGGATGCACAAGAAACTAATGCCTTGTATTATACTTCATTTAGTTAAATGATTGTATAAGCGCGTTTTTGGTAAACAGTTTTCAAGTCGATCAATATGCACATATTTTGTTTGGCATCGGTAAGAGAAAGTATTTGAACTGAAGGAGAGAAAACAAGATCAGAGCAACTTAACATTTAGTGCCTGTTTGGTTTATATTGAACTTGGAAATATTTTTCAAGGAAGCCATGAACGGTTAAGACCATTGGCTCGGCTCAAGAAATGTTATATCCTAGAATGAATTTTAATGTAAAATTATTATTATAAAAGCTCTGAAGTGGATATAAAAGCTTTAAAATTAATATAGCCCATTATTATCCCAATATAATCCACTATCTATCCTAGAAGTAAATTTTCTAGGATTTCTGAATATGAAACCATTTTAAGGCAGTATAAGTAGTTATGTGGTTTTATAACTGCTCACTACATATTTGTCCTTTTAATTAATTGCTAAACCCGATTTACAAGATTTGAGCCCACAAACTTTACTTAAATGGGTTTGCTTTACCAAAAACAATTTTTTAAGAAAGTTGTAAGCCAAACATGTGTCCTTAAACACAATGGAATATCAACGACAAAAAAGGAGAGACTTAAAAACTATTTAACATAGTAATTTGAAATTAAAAGTTAGTAGTTTTGTTGAATTTGATAGTTAGTAATAATTTATGCATTTTTATTTATTGTATTAGATGAAACCACTAATTATTAGTTTCAAACCGTTATACCAAACTTGATTTTTCTTGTGCATTTTGTGGATACAACCAGGAAACTATCAACCACCTATTTTTCATGTGTGAGATAAGTTGGAAGATATGGCAATCTTGCTGTGCGTGGTGGGTTTCCAATCTGCTCTCTTAAATGAAGGCTGGGGTCATCTGCAACAACACATGGGAATGGCCTCAAATGGTAGAGTCAAGGCAGCATGGTATGTGCTCTGCTTTACTGCATTATGGTCTATCTGGTTATGGAGAAACCAATTGATCTTTAAAGAAGGCACTAAATCCCTAGAATATGTTATGAACTTAATCAAGCTAAGATCTTTTAATTGGTTGAGGGTTAAGATTGACAGTAAATTATCTAAGGACATTTGGTTTAAAAAACCCCTGCGAGCATGTCAAAGCAAGCTAAATGGATCGAGATAAGATGGTTATATATTTTGGGTAGGAAACTATCATAGTGTCTAAGCTTCTTACATAATTTATGTAATGGGTTAAAGTATCCTTTGTACTCCGTTTATTATCATATATAATACTACTTTATTGGTTGATAAAAAAAAAAAAAAACTGTTATACCAAATAAACTCTTCTTGACCAGGTGAAAAGCTTCATTCATTTAGGGGGTGTTTGGTTGGGAAGTAATTTTTTCCTAAATTTTTCTAAATTTTCTCTTATAAAGTTATTTTTGTATTTTTACACATTAATATTACATCAAAAGGAGGGTAAAAATGGCATTTTGAGTATTTATTTTCCTTGACACAATTTCCAACTTGTAAAGGTTTTTTCTCACCTATTTTGAAAGAAAAAAGTTCCTCTATAACTTTCTTTATATTGGGCCCATTTAATTAGTTTCTTTACTAACTTTTCATACATCAAGACGAAAGAGAGAGAATTTTTGGCTTCAGGGTGTGAATTCTCGATTATAGGATTCACATGAGAGGGAGGAGATGGGAAGTCTAGGGTAAATTCCTGCAAAGAGAAGAGTTAAGGGAGATGATGTGGCATGGGTGAGTCTCTTCAAACATTTGACCGTCTGTATTTTAACAGTCAACAAATAGCCGTTGCCCCTAAAATGGACCGAGGGATGACATTGAGGTATTTTTGAATAATAGAGGGAGGACATGTGAAGCTAAATTAAAGTGGAGGGAGGACATGAGGCAAATAGATAGTAGAAGGCTTAAATTGAACTTTTTTCGATAGTAGAGGGACAACAATTGGCACTAATCCCCAATAAAATTCTAACAAAATTTCATTACAAAATTTAATAAATTTTTGTATAATATTTTCTAACTTTATGTATAATATTTTCTTAATCATTTTTAATAAAAACTTTCATAATAAAATGAACCTTTAACCAAACAAACTCTTAAAATTACCTTGAACTTCAAGATGCCACTACTATTCTTATTGAAGAGGTGTAAGGCTTCCTTTGACTTCCTAGAACTCCAGTAGATTATTTTAAAAAAATAAGGCAAACACCATACTCCTTTTTATTTTTTTAATGAAACCTGTAATATTGCACTTTTCTTTTCCTTTTTTTTTTTTTTTTTTTTGATGAATATTGCACTTTTCTGTTGAGTCTCGATTGAAAAAAAGAAGAAGAAGAAATCAATCTCATTTTTTTTTTTTAAAATTGTATAATAAAAAATAATTTTTTTTGGTTTCTTAACATATTTGATTTATATGTTATATAATTTGAATTTTTCAATTTTTTATTTTTATTAAAAAAAACTCTATTAAATTACTTATTTCACTGATAAAAAAAACCCTAAGTAAGCTCCAAGGTCAACAAAGGAAGAAACTATCCATAAAAAATAAGATTATGCTTGAATTGTAAGTAGAATACATATATATCTGCTAGCTGGAGGCTACGGTTGGATGGAGATCATTGTTACTCGTGGTATACGGTTTTAGGTAACACGATAAAGCAATCTTTATTATGCATTGATTGCCAAGTAATTGAACACAATGGATAAATGCCTCAACCACAGAATATATTAGCGATGAAAATTACAATTTCATCAAACCTACCGTACCGCTCCGTTCATCAATGATAACGTATGGATCCCGGAATGAAAATGATTGATATATATTTAGTTTAATATATTTTTTAATATTTATTTTGATGTGATTATTAAAATATAAAATAAATATATTTGATATAATTGATTTTTACTTTTTATATGTATAATTAATTATATTTTTAAGTTTATTTATATTTAATTTTATATAAAAAATAATTTTTTAATAAATATATTATGTAATATATTAAAACAAAATATAATTCAATTAGTCCATGTCGCAACAATCGCCACAGGCTTTAATTTGGATAATGTATGTAAAAAAAACGATGATTGGCGCGTGGGGAAAGACGAGAAAATTAACGAATTACCCCCTTCTCTATGTTTTAGGTATCTGTCTTTTGAATTCTTATGCGTAAATTTTAAATAATATTCTCATTTACAGAAGTCTTTTCTTTTTCTTTTTCCTTTTTTTTTTTTTTTTTTGGAGTTTTGGACTGCGGTGCAGTTCTGATGGTGAAAATATTTAAATAGTTTTAATAATTTTTAGTAATTGAGGATATTTTGATATTTTTAAAATCTGAACTGCACTTTAATTTACTTAAAAAATATAGTTGGGATTGAAAAAAGTATTCTCTTACATATATAATAGCAAATTTTATATTACAATTTAATGTAATTTAGATTACAAAATATGAATGATTGAATAGAAAAACAACTCTTAATATTATTTAACAGTTTAAGTTATACAATATAAATTATACAGTAATTTGTTATAGAATATATGAATGAAAAATTATAAAATATTTTATTAAATCAATTAAACAAAAATTATGAGTAAAAAAATTACAAACATCGGTCAAGCAACTGGTGAAATGGATTGAAAGGAGTAATTTGTTTACATAAAAATTAAAAATTAAACTTTATATTTATGATTCAGAATATATATAATTTTATCACCATACTAAATGATTGATGGTGTGAAAGGAATAATTAACACAAGGTGAAATCTTCTTAGAATGCCAAGTGATAAATCTTACAAATCCCTTTATTATTATTAGATACACAAAATGGAACGCACAATACATTAAATTTACTACCCTAATCAAAGCAACGACATCCATCATATACAAAAACAAATCATAGTAGAAATGAGATTCTCTCGAATCTTTCTTTTCTTTTTTCTTGTATACCACATGAAATTAAAATATCAAAACCTCACAAGAGCCCATATGTCCAAGAATCTTGATTATCCAAAACCATTCTTGAGCACTGACTGAGGGAAAAAGTATGATCAACAACATTGGTTTCTTGAGAACTATCATCACGGATTAGGAAATCCCAATTGCTAAAATCCTCAGCCCACAATCCACATGACCACTCAAAATCAGGAAGTTGAATATCTTCAAGGAACTTGGAGGAATCAGAGGAATTGGAGTATGATGATGATGGTGCAGAATTAGGGACCAATAACTCATGGGGCTCAATCAATGGAACCTCATCTATGCAGAATCCATTGTTCATGATTTCCATTGTGTCAAAGGGTAGGCTTTTGTCTTCCTCTTTGGCTTCAGTAATATTGGTGAATTGTAAGGATGTCTCAGGTTCCTTGCTTTTGTCTTCTTCCTCTGCTTTGGTCATGGAACATTGTTGTTTTTGTTCTTGCTGCTGCTGGGGTTGTTCAATTGTGGAGAGTGGCTTGTGGGTTTGAGGGTCAATGCCCATTTTCTTGAGTTTCTTCTTGATGTGAGTATTCCAATGGTTTTTGATCTCATTATCAGTTCTTCCAGGGAGATGAGATGCAATCTTAGACCATCTGAAAATCACAAATTTGGACTTCAGTGGAACGCAGGAAAAACAAACAGAGGTCAAAATAAATAAATTGGGGGCCATCACTTGCAAAAAGAAAAACTGCCCTTTTTTCCACTAAAATGTCATTGTAGAACAAGTGTGTCGTGTCGGTTCTGCTATTGTGGGAAAAGTATGTTTAAAGGACCCCCCAAAAAAAAAGAAAGAAAAGGAAACGGTAATAAAGAAATATTATATAGTTGAATTGCACTAAATTATAAAATAAAATAGTTGAAATATGAAATTGTTTGAATCGTAAAATAGGAGACTTAAAAGTAGTACTTGTAATATTGGAATTACAAGAAAACCCCTCAACAACACTCGTTTGGAGCATCGAAGGTAAACCCCGCGTACTGGATTCACAACTACGGTTTCAACATATGGTATTTAGATTTTGTCTACATTTAAAAAGGAAAATTAGGTATATGAAAGGGTATGTATTTTGATTCTGAGTGATGAAGATCATTTCAATTCATTGAGTTGGTCCATGGCAAAGACATTAATATCTTTTATGGAAACTTTACCAAACTTCAGTATTGAAGAAGGTGAAGACCAAAAAAGTAGAATAATTAGGGAACCTGTTGCCAAGCTGAGCATGAAGATCAATCACCATTTTCTCTTCATATTCAGACAAAAGGCCTCTCTTTAGGTCTGGCCTGAGGTAGTTTGTCCATCTTAGCCTGCAACTCTTCCCACACCTTAATAATCCTGCATAAATGGCACCCAACATTTCCATAATTCAGCTAACGATATATGAGCAGCTTTTAATCCTTGACGAACACCCATTTCCATGTTTCCCCAGAAATGAAGAAAATGGTAGTAAATTAACGAAAACCATATAAAAGAGGAAGAAATTTTAGGATGACATTGGGATTGTGAATATTCAAGAAGGAATAAGAAAGACCTGCGAGCTTAGGAACAGCTCTCCAGCAGCATTGGCCATTGGTGAGGATGAAATTGATGAGCTTCTTATCTTCCTCTGCAGTCCATGGCCCTTTCTTCAACCCAACTTTGTCACAGCATGGCTGCCTTCCCATCTTAATTAATCTGATCAAGTTCAACACACAACTGAGGAAGAAAGCAAAGATAACTTGATAAACAGAACAAAGATAGCAGAGCACCCTCCCTTATATATAAATCAACCCCACATATGGACAATTTGTCAGCTCTTGTCCATTTTTCAATTTTTTCAACAATTGCTTTTTATTTATAATATATACCTAATATTGAAGAACCTTTCTTCTTATTTACACCCTACCATGTAGAATTTATTTAATTTATTTGTTAGAAATTATTCATTACTGTAATCATTAATTAATAGCTAATAAAATGAGATAAATTTATTACGTGGCGACATTCCGAGGTGTTGTTGAATCTTCATGTCGAAATTAATATTAAAATTAATTAGTTTAGACTAAAAATTTGAACCCTCTGTTTAGATTTTTTAAGTTTTTAAAGAAGACACGTACAGGTACAAGGGAAATCCAAATAGGCAATTGGGTTCTGTCTATCTGGCACTGCACACGTGTAATGTAGTGAAGAAAGGCGTAGTACCAGGAGAGACAGCGCCCCCTCATCCACCTTTCTTTATATTTACTCACTCACCCCCTACCCAAAGGAAAGTTAAAGTAAAAGTAAAAGGAAAACATACACCCAAAAACCAGCATTTTACTTGGGATTAAAATGTCAGGCACTTTCCACTTTCCAACAGCCTTATGGACTAAGTAAAGAAATTGTCCTTTTTCTATTTAGTTTGACCATTACTTCAGCATTTTCTAACCCCTTCTTCTGCCTCCTTGTGAAGCAAAACCAAAACAAGTTTTAAAAAAAAACTACAGCGATTTGGTTTTGTTCAATACCTGGTGAGTATATAGGAAAGTAAGGAAAATTAATATGTGAGTGGATTTGGAGGTGTATAGTATTTAAATATTGAGATGGGTGAAAAAGATTATAGAAAGTAAAAATCTATTTTCTATTGTAATAGTGATGTTAAGAATACAAGAAAAGGGAAAAGGAAAATTTGATCTGTTTCCAAGCCTATTAAGCCTTGTGTTTTAAGCAAAATTTGGGGGGTGTAGAATTAGAATTAGAAAGAGGAAGCATGCATATTCAGCACTAGAGTTTTTCCAAAGGTTCTTTTGATGTGGAGCTTTCCACAAGTACTAAGGAGCTATCACTGTAGCAGAGGGACACACCACCCTCTTAAAAGAGTCTCCTTTAACAAAATTGCAAGATATCTAGTTCTTGTTACACTGTTACAATATACTACTGAAACCTCCCTTCTCAAATATATATATATATATATATATTTTTTTTGGTACATTTTAGTTTGAGCATGCAATAGCCTACTGTCATTTTTTTCTAAAATTATTCTCCATATCCCTCGTCGAGAATGTGTATCATCACAACACGAGGAACGCATGAGTTTAAACAAACATGAGTACATAATGTTATTTACTATATGTTTTTATTAATTAAAATTTTAACTTTTTAAATTAGAAATGTTGAATTTAAATTTTAAAATAAATAAATAAAATTTAAAAATTTAATTATTTTTTATTATATAACTTATTATTCAACGTATCCAAATATGAATACATACTTTCAATACCGAATTGCCTGCGTCGCACGGCTATACCGTTTTATTTTCACTTTCACACATTGATGTCAAATACGAAAATTGACAAGACGAGAGTACAAATTGACGTCCATTAATCATATCAAATATGAAAGCGAGAAGTAATTTTTTTTTTTTTTCCAATTTTGTTTTTATCTTTGGCTCCAAAGGATTTGCATCCAAATTCCAAATCTTAATTACTCTCAGTGGGGTTTCAATCAATGCTTTGTATCGTCAATTGTTGGTTTACTTTTCCACAAAAACAAATAAATTAAGCTTAACATATTTAATCTTGGTTTTACTTAACGTGTATCATAAAAATATAGGTTAAAATCAATATAGTTTTTATAATTATTTTATATAAAAAATAATAAAAATTAACTTTTATATTAATAATAATGTCATGTGAACAATTTTAATTAGTTAATTAATTAAATTTAACTTAATTTTTACCTATTTATATATATATTAATTATAAAATAATTTATTTATCACATTTTTAACATATGACATTTAAATAAAAGATAAAAAAAAATCCTCTAATCTTTGCATCTAGAATTCTAGAATACTTCTAGTTCCTAGATATTTTTTAGATTATTCTAACGTACGCTGGCCGACTTCCAACAGCGGTTTTTTTTGCTAATTGACTCTGTATTTTCACATTTGAGTTGTATTCATCTCTTTTAATTATATAACTTTTGTATCCCTAAAATATAAGTTAAGCATATTTTTTAATAATAAATTTATATAAAAAAATATAAAAATAAATATTAATTATAGAATCAATATTACGTGAATAAATTTAATTAAATAATTAATAAATTAAATATTATTTTTTATTTTTAAAAAAACTTTTGATATATACCTTTAGGATATAAATTAAAAAAAAAACCTTAATTATATTTTTGTAAAATCCATCTATTAAAACTCCTTTTTATTTTATGCATTAATTGATGTACTATACAATAGTTAATAAGGGATTACTACTTCCTTCTTCTATCTTTTTCATCACTTTAAAATTTAAATTCGATCAAAATTTCTAATTTCTAATTTCTAATCTTTAATCACTAGACACATACATTTAGTTTTTAATTCTTAAGTTGCATTCAATTGGTTTAATATTTAAAACCTTTCCATCTTCCGAGTCCAAAACCATGTTAATTACACTTAGTGGGGTTTCAATTAATGCTTTTAATGTCAATTGTTGGTTTACTTTTCCACTAAAACAAATAAATTAAGCTTAACATACTTAGGCTTTGCATTTAGACTTCTAAACAAATTTGAATACTTTTAATTTCTAGATATTTTTTAGATCATCCTAACGTACAGCTGATGTTATTATACAATAGTTAATAGGAGGGGATAACTAGCTCCTTGTTTTATCTTTTTTTTTTTTCAATTGTCTTAAAATTTTTAATTCAATCAAAATTATTAATTTTAAATTTTAAATTTTTAATCACTTGATACATACACTTTAGTTTTTAAAAATAATTTAGGGATAATTATTTTTGTATCATTTTTTGAAATATCCTTTTTATTAACCCCTTTGAAATAATCTTTTTATACTACTTTTTAATATAATTTTATGTATTATTTAAATAACTAATTTTTTTTATTTATTTGAAACCTATATTATTAAATTTATTTATTTATTTATTAGTATTTTTTTAACAAATTTGCAAGGGACCGGATTCAAACCGTTGCCTTGAGATTGGGAAATACATTTATACGTGACTTGACGCCACTGGATCCAAAGGCTCAAGTGTTATTTTTTTTATTTAATAATACATAAAAATAATATAAAATATTATCCATGTATCATCCCTTTAAATTTAACTCTTGAGTTGCATTCAGTTGGTTTAATATTTTATAAATTATAACCTTTCCATCTTTGGAGAAAATGTTTACAACCTTATTGGCTTAGCCCATTGCACGGTAAGGACGTATCGTTTTCATACACTTCATGGCAGTTGTTGGGTTAGGATTTTTGTTCATGTGGACCAGTCAACACGGCAACTTGGCAAGTAGCTTATTGGGTTTGTAGAGCTTCTAGAATAGGATTATTGATTGGGCCTTAATATGCTATGGACTCATTCTTTGTAATAGAAATTAGAAAAAAATGATATAATAACAAACCCATCCCCACTTGACAATAATCCATTCATATAATATATGTGGACAATAAATTCTCACAACATCAATGACATGTTACATCCGTTGATTTGAGTAAAAAATTTTGATTTTTTAAATAAAATTTTTAAATTTAAATTTTGTGAATGAAAAGTTTTTCTTTTATATCGGTATTGACTTGGTTTAACTTCACATTAATTAAAATTTAATAAACTTTCAAGATATTGGGATTTAGTAAAAAAAATCCTCACAACAAATTATAACATTAAATAAATCTATATAAAATTAATTCAGGCATCCTAACAATCAAGTGGATAAAAAAAAAAAAGAGACTACTGTCGTGTTACATTGTGAAGATTTATTAACAACAAATCAATTTAAAAAGTACATGAAAGTGTTTGATGAAAGTTAAAAAATATTTATTTTAAAAATAATTTTTGTTTATAAATTTAAAATGTTGTTTGAAGAAAAAATAAAAATTAGTTTTTAAAGGTGATTTTAAGTAAGTTTGGAAAAAAAAAAACTATTCCAAAGTTCCTTAAAATCACATTTAAAAGTTAATTTTTACTTTTTCTACTAACAAAATTTTAAATTTTTTAGTGAAAATTTTATTTATTTATTTTTAACCAATAGCTTTTTAAGGTGTTTCTTCAAGTAAGTGTTCAAACCGTGATGGTTGAAATAGCTGCTCCCAACCCAAAAGGTAAGTTCAAGATTGGTAACCGAAACGAAATTTGCGTTGGAGTATGGCAGTTGCTGGACCAAAATTGCATGTTTAGAGCGTATCATGCTTTAATGGCTGTGGGTGGTTCATTTTCATCCAGGCTATGCCGATCATTGTGAAGATTGTTTAAATATCAGTCTTAAATGTTTATGGTTGTGATGGCCAAAACAAAAAACTTGTTTATGATTGTATTGCATAAAATTAAAAACCATTCGCAATTGAAAAAACTGGAGGAGACAAATGTGCAGAAACTTAACATCGAAGAACATAAAAATTTTGAAGATATTGGTGAAAGCTAAAGGAAAAATTCTTACAACATTGACACTTTATGTGAAATTAATTTAATTATTTTATTATTTTACAACAAATTTCAGCTTTTACAATGATAAACGTCTTGAGCACACTGAAAAATTTTA